CATTTAATTAGCATTGTTTCATTAATTATCACTTGTAATAAGATGTACGCTTTTATTACCTTTATCTTACAGATGAAAAACTTAGTCTTAGAGTAATAAAGTTAACTTACCTATTTTACTCTCCTACTGGCACTGACATTAAAATGTGCTGACAATTGGAAGCAAATACATTTTGTAAAAGGTCCTGTTCAATTTTATAGGCTCATCTATTTGTCTCTGATGGGGAATTGGCTCTTCGGGTAAGTGAAGAGACTTACCCAGTTCTAAACACTCATTATTTCCAGACTTAAATAATTCTGTAGCTAGGAGAAATCTTACAGGTCATCTGCTTCTAATTTGAAGGGCAAAGAAAATAAAAAGGCTTTTCTGGTGGCAGAGAAAGCCTCAGCCACCAAAGGCATGCCCAAGTCTCCTGTTCATAGTCCTGCGTTCTGTTTTTTTCAGGCTCAAAAATTCTTCACCCTCAGCCAGAAACAGGCTTAGGGGAGTTAAAACACATGCTAATCCTTTACAACTCAATGGCACCCTTACCAATATAGGTGATAGATACATAGGAGATAGGTAAATAGATAGCTCTATCCATCAATAGATAGATAATTTATATACATCTTCTTCTGAGATGCTTGAGATACTGAGTCTTTTGGCTTAAAATTGTCCCAAAGACTTTTAACCTTTATTGGAGTTACTTTTTATAGCCCCTCACCCCTCTTGCTGTATAGCTTGCTCTATTAGTTTGTCTGCTTTCAATATTTTCCTCATCTAATTTTCTATTCATGAGAAAGCAGGTAATCACATGCGTAAAAACTGTGCTTAATAGAAAAATAGAGTCTGAGTCAATGCTTCAGGAAATTCGGTAAATAAGGTAGATGTATTTTTGTAGGTTGACTTTGTGACAGATTTTAGCTTTTAGAAACTAGATTTTTTTTGGTCTTCCTTTGCCTTTGTTTTCCTTTTGTCTTGTAGTTTTCTTTGTTGTTTTGCTCATTTTAGACCATAGTACACTTCATGGATAAATCACATCTAAATAAAGATTAAAAACAGTTGAATACATTTTTTATGATCCCATTTTCAGTCTAGAACACACATCCTATTTTTACAGGAGGTTTATGTTTTTTTCTATTATGAAAATTATATCTCTGAAAAATGGAGGATTTTAAAAACAGCCACAGAGGTCACTTTCAATTCCCAGATCCCTGATCTTGTTTCTCTGGGATCCAGTGAGCTGAGACGTGGTGTGACTTTGCAGAGAAAACACCTCCTCATAATGACGCCTCTTAATTCAACCCCCAACCAAGGGTGCTGGTGGCACCATCCCAGGTACTCAGGTGATTAAAGTGGGAGCTAGAGAGGTTTCCCTGTCTGTCTAATCCGGCCTGGTTTAAACCGTTAAGCTGATAATACAAGGCTTTGCAGGCTGATACTAGGCAAGGGAGAGAAGCTTATTCTTCATTTCTAAACACTGTATCAGGTGCATGAAGGGCAAACAGTGATGAAAATAAAAAGACATAACAATATGTCTTTTTCATATGTTCTGTACTTAGATGAGATATCTTTATTACATGAAAAGAAGTATGCTACTTGTTTACCGTTGGGGTCTTTCGGTGGTTTGATTAAAAGGCACATACTCACACACACACACCTCAGCCTTCCTTTTCTACCTGAATTCTGAATCATTTGAGATTCATGACCAGCTGCCAAGCAAATGGAGGTCAAAGTATCACCTTGATTGCAGATAAAGCTATTACTGAAGAGCGCTCACTGAGCTCTCCTCCTGAAACCCAATTCTGAACACTCACTCACATACTAGAGCTTTGATAGCTCTAAATAATAGCTTTGCTGGGTAAAGCAATCTTGGCCGTAGGTCCCCATTTGTCATGACTGAATGTTTCTTGCCAATCCCTTCTAGCCTGCAAAATTTCTTTTGAGAAATCAGCTGACAGTCTTAGGGGAACTCCCCTGTAGGTAACTAACTTCTTTTGCTGTTTTTAAGATTCTCTCTTTATATTTAACCTTTGGCATTTTAATTATGATGGGTCTTAGAGTGGGCCTCTTTTCACCCATCCTGTTTGGGACTCTCTGTGCTTCTTGGACTTGCATGTCTATTTTTTTCACCAAATTAGGGAAGTTTTCTTTCATTATGTTTTCAAATAGATTTTCAATTTCTCGCTCTTTCTCTTCTCCTTCTGGCACCCCTATGATGAGAATGTTGGAATTCTTAAAGTTGTCCCAGAGGCTGCTTATACTATCCTCATTTTTTTTTTTTTTTGGATTCTTTTTCCTTCTTTTTGTTCTGGATGGTTGTTTTTTTTCCTTCCTTATGTTCCAAATCATTGATCTGATTCTTGGCTTCATCCACTCTACTGTTGTTTCCGTGTAAACTGTTCTTTATTTCAATTAGTGTGTCCTTCGTTTCTGACTGGATCTTTTTTATGCTGCTAAGGTCCTCACTAAGTTCCTTGAGCATCCTTATAACCAGTGTTTTGAACTCTGTATCTGATAGATTGCTTATCTCCATTTCATTGAGGTCTTTTTCTGAAGTTTTGATCTGTTCTTTCATCTGGGCCGTATTTCTTTGTCCCCTTGTTTTGGTTGTCTCCCTGTGTTTGTTTCTATGCATTAGGTAGAGCTGCTTTGTCTCCATGTCTTGGTGGTGTAGTCTAATGTAGTAGGTGTCCTATAAGTCCAGTGTCAAAGCCTCCCCTATCACCTAAGCTGGGTACTCCAAGTGTGTCCTTCATGTGTGCTGAGTACATCCTCTTGTAGTTGAGCTTTGGATGCTATTGGAAGATCAATGGGAGGGATTTACCCAGGCCAGTCAACTGCAAGGACTGGCTGTGACTACTGACCACCAGCCTCTGCCCTCTGTGGAAGATCAGCTGTGCCAGGGTGGGGTGGTGGTGCTCCGATGTGGTCTGTAGCTGTCCAATGGTGCGCTGGCCCTGGTGTTTCCCGGGTGGTGCAGTCCAAGGTCAGCCCTCACCTGTGTTTTGCCCAGGGCCACCCTGCCTAAGCTATAAAGCAACCTGAGATGGCTGCTACTTGTGGTGGAGATTCTCAGCAAAGCCAATCTGTGAATCTAGGCTGGCTGCTTCTGGCACCTGGGCTCACTGAGGCCAGCTGTTGCTTGTTTGAGAAGATTTAGGAAATTGTGAAGCATGAGCCAAGGCCAGCCATTCATACAGAAAAGCAGCTTGGGTGGGCCCATAAGTTGGATGGGGCAGAGTCTCTGGGGATCTCCAAACGGAGTCTCAGATATGGCACCAGCTTGCCGGCTCTGTGGCTCTGAGGGGAAAGGAACAATGGCTTCCGCTCGCCTTGAGGCCAGACACTTCACTTCCTCCCTGTATTCTCCACTGGCACCTTTCAAGCTGCTATACCAGTGCTGGAGCTCAACGGGAGTGAGTCTGAGTAGGTGAGTCATGTGTGGGTTCTTTAAGAGGAACTGCGTGGGGCTCCAGAAGTTTCTTCCACCGACTCAGTCCTCACTGGTTTTTGCAGCCAGAAGTTGTAGGGACTTGTCTTTCTGGCACTGGAACTCTGGGCTGGGGGGCCTGGTGTGGGGCTGGGACTCCTCATTCCCAAGATATCCCCCCCAAATTTTTATCCACCACACGTGGGTATGGGACCAGCCCGTTCCGCATCTCTGCATCTGCACCCCTCCTACCAGTCTGGATGGATGTGCTTTCTTCAACTCCATAGTTGTCAGACTTCCATTCAATTCAATTTCTGATGATTCTGAGTGATGGTCAATCTATATTTTAGCTGTAATTGTGATGTAGTTTTATGAAGAGACAAGCTTTGTCTGCCTACACCACCATCTTGCCTGGAAGTAGGTTGTGATTTTTTTAACTTTTTATTTTGAAATAGCTTTTAGATTTTTAGAAAAGATGCAAAAATAGTACAGAGAATTCCCATATGCCTTTATTGCAACTTTCCTTGATGTTAACATCTTATGTAATTACAGCATAATTATCAAAAATGGAAAATTGCCATTGCTCCAACACTAGTAACTAAACTATAAACCTTACTCAAGTTTTATCATTGTTTTCAATATTAGCTGAATTTTTAAGTGCAGGAACTGTATTATATTTATTTTCACATCCATAATGCCCAGTGGTGAATTTGGCCTCAAGTTAGTGATCAGTAACTGTTTGGGAACTAAGTAAGTGAATGAACAGATGTCGAATTCCATACTAAAACATGTGTATTTGTTTGTATGTGTGCCACCAGTTCCAAAGCACATAAGTGAAGTCTGAGGCCATGTTTTAAATAAGTGTCATTCAGAACTAAGTTCCACGTTAGACTTTGTGGAGCACAGCCCTTTAAGCTGCACAAATTTTTCAAAAGCAAAACTGAATGGACTAACTAGATTGAAAGGAAGACACAGTGGAATTCACTGAATGGGCGGAAGGCTATGCTGTTACATTTATTTTTATGTGTGTGTGCCTGCGTGAACATTTTGCTTTACACCTCAGTAAATGCCTGACGAGGGGAAGAGCACTTGCTGGCAATCAGTCTTGTGTTTCTAGGCAGGTTTTAGAAGTTTATCCTGAACCAAAACACGGAAACTCTCTTGCTTGAAGAGGAAATCCATACAGTTGTTTTCAGGGTTTCTCTTTTCTTTCTCAGTAAGTTCAGTAGAGAGAACTATATTAATGAAGTGTGAATTTTACTATGACAGTGATTTCTGACAGCTTCCAAAGTACGCACTCTTTTATCTCAGCCTTTACAACCAAAGAATGTGAAACCAGAAGAGAAGCACTATTCAAAGCACAAAACTCCTCTTAGTAGTTAATGGAGCCTAAAATAGCCACTCTTCTTGCTGTTTTCTCCATCATGTTTTAAACGAACTGAAAATATTGATGTGACAAAGTCTAGCAAGGTAAGAATCCCATTATTCTTAGTTGGGCAAAACTGGTCTACAGAATTGTTATGAGAACTGATTTTTCTGAAAAATTCAATTTTTGAAAGGGTTTAATTATTCTGTTATTGTTATTTAGATGGAAGACGTCATAGCACGCATGCAAGATGAAAAAAATGGAATCCCTATTCGAACTGTCAAAAGCTTTCTTTCCAAGATACCTAGCGTCTTCTCTGGTAAGTTTGCATTCAATATAGCTCTGTTTTGTCCAATGTCTTTCACAGAACTACTTAAAGTCTATTCTAACTTTTCACTATTGAAACTCTCTAACTCATTATTCAGCAACTACTTATAAAATGCTAATGCCATATTTAACGTCATGTTTAACACTTGAAATGATAATAAAAGAAAAGAAAAGAAAAAAGCAAAAATCATGACCCTACTCTTAGTTGCAAAGACAAAATGAACAAATATGAAATAAGAGAAGGCAATATTAAATAAAAATGTATGGAACAAATGTGATGTCAATTGTATATAGAAGTTAGGAGAATGAAAAAAATCCATAAGGAGGAAGCAAAAGGTTCCTGAAGATCTTTTCCTGAAACTCAGTGATGAGCTGAGTTTCAAAAATATGGGGTCATATTAGCTTCAAGAGCAGAGCTGGGAGGGCTTAAATATAGAAAACCAGGCTGGTAGACAGGCACAAACAGAGTTGAGTCAGGTTATGAGGGTCTTTGAAAGCTAACCTGAAGAAACTAATTCTTATGTATGGGGAAATGGGGAGGCATTGAAAATTTTTGTAGAGAATGTTATGGTGGAAGTGTTCCGGCTGAGCTGGCATTCAGTAAAGGCCATTGTCTCTGTTGCAGATACAAGGCTCTTGGAGGGATAGGTAGGACGGCAAGATCCTGGTATGTGGGGAAGAAGGAACAGAGAGGGAAACGCACACAGAGTTAGTGAATGACTGGGCGTACAGGATAAAAGAGGACCAGACCCGACTTCTTGTTGGTGTTTGTTTCTGAATTGGGTGACCTTGAGATAAAGGAGTCATTACCAGAACTGGGGCAACCCCAGAAGTTTGATGGGAGGTGAGCACCCAAGAGAAAACGGGTGGTGATAAGTTAGAGCCCTGGGCTCCGGCTCCATGAGGCGGTGAGAGCTCAACCTGTGGACACTCGGCGCGCTGGGGCCTGGGCCGGCGAGGCGAGGAGAGCAGGTGAGGGAAGACCAACCACAGGCGTGTGGGTGACACGCGGCAGGGGGAAGGAGTCTGCTGCTGAGCGCATGGAGAGGATGGTGCTCAGGGGGATTCAGGAGCGAGAGCCGGGACGCCTCCTGATGGACAGGGTTGAAAGAAGACCAGGGGTCAGCAGGGCTTCAGCCTCGGTGAGAGGGTAATAATTAGGGCCAAGTGCAAATCAGCAGCCCGGACGCTGGCGTTTGAACACGTCATCGCTCACGCATCAGTGGTGGATGCTGATCAGAATCTGGCCCATCGGCTCTCCTCTGGGATTCTGCTGACTTTCCTGAACTTTACTTAAGAGTGTGTGGGGGAGCGGGGGAGGCACTGAGGCGGTGACAGCCTGTGGGGCTAGATAACTGGCCATGAGCAAAAGCAAAGGACGCACATTGGCCGATTGAGAGAAATGAAACACAAGAGGAAAGAGAAGAAGAGTTGAAGGGGTAGAGAGTTCTGGATCCCTGGTGGCTCTGCAGCCCTTGTCCCTGCGTTCGGGGACACCATGACGCAACCTGCAAAAGCGTCCTTTGGGGGTCCTCGCCTCTGCCATGGCACTTCCACCCTTTGGCCTGCTGTGTTCTCCGCTTCCCTTTTCTGGGTCAGACTTTTCCCCCAACGCCTGCAACCTGTTTGTTGCTGGCTCTTAGGAATGCCCACTTACAAACCTCACCACGGAGATTTTCACCCACTCGAGCTGGGATGCAGCCATTCTGAAGCTGATAAAAACAACACAGAGGACTGGCACCTTCTGCTCTCAGAGGCAGGCTGACTGTAGTTCCCTTTCAATTTTTTTTATGCCGTTCAGCGAACACTGATCAGATACCCACTGTGTTCCAATTCCTGTACTGGGTTCCCAGGACTACTATTTTTGTCTTCATGGGGAAATAGATTATTATATGTTGGCACTAAATGTTCCACTTGTAGGATCGGCTGAGGGGAGTCCTGTTCCCGGAGGTTAAAATTCTTTCACTTTATAATCAGATCTTCAAGAACCTGAATTATGGGTACTTAACTCCCAAAAGAAATACGTCTGTGAGGTTTGGGTATAACAGTATAGAGGCCCTTAGAGTAGGCAGAGACATGATTACTTACTCACTATTTTTAACTTTTGCAAAATTATAATCAAAGGTACTTACTTCATGTTCTCCAAGTTGCCTGGGACTCATGAAATGCATTTATTCCATAATAAATCACTAAGGGAGTTTTATCTTTGCAGACAAACTTGACTTTTTCCTTTTTAAAAACAATAAGAAATGTGTGACTTGTATTTTTCCTTTTCCTGTTTTTTTTCTAATTTATAGGAAATTTATTGCTAAATTGGACATTTCATTCATATTTTCTCACCTGACTCACCACTGACATACCTATCGTTTCCTTCTAATTGGTTTTCTGTCTGTCTTTCATGGCTGTGATTTTAATTGGGGCGGTTTGGGGGCGGTGTAGGGGGGGGTGTGTGTCTGTGTGTGTGTGTGTGTGTGTGTGTGTGTGTGCGTGTGTGCGCGCGTTGAGAGAGAGAGAGGAAGATTCATATTATAAATTGCTTAAAGCCATGTTTTAGAGTAGATAAGGAATAAATCTGAAGGAGAATCTGAGAAGTGTCTGCTGTGTGTTAAGGAATTGCTTTGCCCAGAATCCCCTTTCCAGTGGAGGTGTATCTTGCCTTTGAACCGAAGCTTCCCATCACAATATAAAATGAAAGATGAAGTTCAAACATTACTGCACGGGGCTTTTATAAAAGCATTTATGCAATTTTTATGCAATTGTGTCCTCAAATTGGGAAAATAACTATAAAGCTAAAAAATACAATGTTTGAAGATTTTGGTGAGGATTTTCCCTGAATGAAACCCAGAAGTCTTATTCCTACATAATAACCCTAAAATCCATATCCTCTAACGTACAATATTTATTCATCTTTCATCTGAAGATTTTTGGGAAGGCAAATAATGGCACTCATACCAGCTGAAAAGCCTTTGTATTGTATTTAAACCCTGAATGGAAGATCCAAGTTCAGGTGGAACACAGAATTTTGTGAATAAAAGAGGAAATGATTAATTTTAATTTTTTAATGGCATTTTATCCAGCTTTGGTAATATTTTACAACTGTAACATTTGCCTTGGCTACATGCACATTTGGATGCCTTGAAACTGACAGCAGGTTTTCAGTTGCTTAACCAGATGCTGAAATTGAGGGAGGGGTCCTTTAGTTCTAGAAATGTAACACATTATAAGAATATTGAATATAACTAGGGAGTAGACTTTTTCTTGATTCACAATCTTGGATGCTTTATGGAGTTTAAGTATATAAACATAAAAGAAACAGACTTTAAAACCTGATGGGAGAAAACAATTGGTTTTTCAATATTGAATGTTTTAGGAGTTTGAATCAGCCATTGGGATTCTTTTTACTGATAAAGGTATTTTTAATAAGAATTTGTTATTTTGATTTTACATATTAAAATAACAATTACTTATTATATATAACAACTACTTTTATATTCTATAGGATAGATATATTTTACTTTGGAGGGGGCTATTAGTGATTTGGGAGCCTACTATGTAGTCATTGGCTCTTAAATATATTCGTTTTATTTCTTACTATACTTCAAGGTAATCATTGTTTACCTTTTTCATAGAGAAGGAATTACAGGGTCAGAGAGTTCAAATTTATGGCCCAATGCCGCAAAGCTTACTAGCACTCAAACCAAATCTGTCCATTCAAGAATCTGCTTCCTCTTCTGTCACCACGGGTTCCTCCATAGTGCCTCTTCTCACGTGCCTGTGTTGGTTCAGCGTGACAAATGAACATCCATCACAGTCTGTGGGATTCTGAGTACTGGGGCTGCTCACGTCTGTCTCCCAACGTAGCCCCTTCTGGTTGGAACTCTGAAGCACTTGCCAGAAAGACCTGAGCCGCTGTCTGTTTTACCTCCGAGCACCTGCACAGCCTCGAGGAAACAGCTGCAGTTTCTTCACCGCCAATATCTGGAGGTTAGGCCTGATGATCCCCAAGCTTCCTTTCCATGTAAGCTCTACACTTCAGAGAACTCAGAAGAGGAAAGTGTGGAAAAGCATTACTAGAAGAGAACATAGTAGTAGACTAGACCATTCACAAGATGGCGAGAGCAATATAGCATCAGTGGAGATCTTACTGAATTTTCTTTCTTTAGCCAATTCCGTCTGGCCTACAGCTTTAGTCACAAACTCTCTGCACCCTTCCACGTGTGTATGTCTGGTCCATTAAACTCCTCTGAACTCTGAACTCTGGTCTATTAAACCCCTTATGCAACGTTTCCACGTGGATGTCCCAAAGGCACCTCCAACTCAACATGTCTCATATTAAACTCATAGTCTTTTTCTCAGTCCCTTCCCTGTGTTCTGTCTCAGGAAAGATGGCAGATGCCGGAAATGCCGGGCTCACCGTGACCTCTCCTCCTGTAGCTCCTTCTTCTCATGGCAGTTTCATCAACGCCTCCTACCCGTTTTTTCTCCGAAGCCGCCATCAGATCGTTTGGCTCTGACCATCTGCCCGCGTTCCGCTCCAGTCCACGCCATCAGCTCCTCTCTCCTGGGCTGTCGCAGTGACCCAGCACGTCTCCGCGTCCCCCGAGTCCTTGGCCCTCTCTTCCCCACAGGGCAGCCACACGGGCGTTTTCAAGTTGCAGACCTGATCCGTTAAAACTGTTCTCTCAATGGAGCCTTGAGACCCAAATCTTTAACAAGATTCCTGCCTGACTCTCACCCCAGCCTCACAGCACCTGCTCTCTTGCTTTCTCCGTTGCAGCCGCCGCAGGTGCTTCCCCTTCCGACACTTTACCGCGGGTGCTTCCCCTTCTGACACTTTACCGTGCTCCCTGTCGCCGTGGGTGCTTTCCACCGCTGGGCTGCTCTGGGTGCTCCCTCCCCTTTTCCCCTTTGCTCGGCTTAGGCCTACTCATCTCAGGTCTACCCCAGTTTCCTTGCTTAAATACATTCATCAAACTGCATTTTTTTTTTTTC